CCGTCCCGGTCCGTTACCGCTCGGCTCGCGCCGCCCCGCGCGCCGTCCCGCGCGGACCGAGGACCGCGCGTCGGGGTGCCAGCGACGACGGCCCCCGGCTGCGGGGGCTGGGCCCGTCCCACCATCATGGGACCGGTCCTTGCCGGAGTCTAGCCAGCCGGCGTCAACGCGGCGGTGTAACAATGACCCCCCGACGTGCGCGTAAACAAAGTAAATGGCGCCGACTGGTCCCCCGGCTCTGCGCGTCCTCGCCGCGACGTTCCCCCGTGGTCTGCAGCGTCTGGCGGGGACGCGGAAAGCTCCGGGGCCCTCGGCCACCTCGGCGGTGGAACAGGCGGCGAAGAGAGGGGCGTCGGGCGCGCGGGGAAGGGACGAGGGACGCAATTTGCGCGGCGGCGAGTCTCGGGTGAATTGTGTCGCTCGACCTCCCCGGTTTCTTTTATTTACCAGCTGCCAGCGAGTCGCGCCGCGCGAACGGAGCTGCTGTCTAAATAGCCCGACCGTGATAGAACACACTTTTTGGTCACGGTCGAGACTGCACTCGCCTCCGAGTAGCCGAGCCTATTTTGCGGGGTGTCCGCCGCGGGTCACGTCGGCGGAACGTGTGACGATCGATCGGTCGCGGAAACGGAGCTCGGTTTCCGCTGCCGATCCGCTGGCGGAACGCGAACTCGGCGCCGGCGGACGAGCGTAAACGTCGACACGCGATCCCGCTGATGTCGCGCGCGCCCGAGATTACATCGTCGGTTCTCTTCTCGTTGCAGATTGAAACTTTTGAAATTGGAATTGGGTTTCTTCATGTCTTAAAGCACTTCAAAAACGTACCGCAACGTAGGAGGGCAAAAACACACCGCTGGTCTTAAGACAGAAAAGCAACGCAAGCAACCTACAAGGATAGTAAAAGTATTGTGTACATAAAAATAAAAAGGAAAGGAAGAAAACCAGAAACAAGCTTAACGTGTCTCGTGACTGCAGTGCAATTCGGAAATATTAGAAACATGGGCATACAAGACCTGCAAACTTTCCTGGACGGCAATTGCGTGCAAGGTGGATCCGTACCTGTGGACTTGTTGAAAATAGCGCGCATGGTCGCGCAGAAGTCGCAGCGCAACCGCGTGATTAAGGGGCAGCAGCTACACAATTTCGGCAAATTGAGGCTTGTACTCGATGGGGAGTGTTGCTTGGATCGACTGTACGGTGGATTCTTTTCAGGTAAAGCTGTGGCGCCCGAAAGGACCGGCGGCGTCCGTGGTTTTCGTTTATTTCCTCACTAAGGCCCGGTTTCGCCAACGTTGTTTCACTTTAGCTTAATTCGCTCTTTGTCTCTTTACGGCTGTTACTTTAGAAAGAGGCAGGCGTGAATTGAACTGAGATTAAAGTTAAGCGACGCTTGTTTCTCTACGCCACGCTCGCCACAGAAGTCAGTTCGATTATTAACGCTATTGTTACTTTGACGCAGACACAAATGGGCTAAAAGCTTAACATAGAATTAAGCTCAGCTTAGATTTGGTAAATTTAGGTTTCATAAAGCAATTAGAAATAGTAGTCACAACGTGCAAGGCTGAACGAGTTAAGAACATATTGTAAATCAAGTCCACCTTGTTGGCTGTAAGCTGAAGTTAATAAATTACTGACTACTTTGACGCAGATTGGGCCTGCGGCGGACAATGGAATCGTATGCTCCAGTTCCTCGCTGTTCTCATACAAGCAATGGAAATGTCGGGATTGGAGGTAGCTGTGTTCTTTAACGGATGTTTTGAGCCCCTTCGGAGGGCGGATTGGGTGCAACAGCAGTTGCAAGTGCGCGCTAAGGTCAACAATGTAAGTCGCATAGTTACATGTACAGAACGATTGGGCGGCAATGCAAATACTCAAAGACGTCTTTCTGACATATCAAGGTCTTGAAACATATAACAACGAAAGGTACGCCGCCACCGAAAATCTGGTGGACTCCTCCTGTATGCTTAAGAACCAGTTTACGTATGGCTCTCAGGCATCTCAATGTCACAGTTGTAAGTTGATTGTCCGCCTTCGTTTCTCCCTTTAATCGTCTCTTTGCATTTACAGGCCACAATGTTGATTAAAATGCGGTAACAATAGCGTTACGTTACGTACAATAATTTTAAAGAACTCTATGAAACGTTACAATCAACATTAATGTTTCAACAGTTATGTAGCATGGATGACCACCACCAAGAAGTCATTGCTTATTGTCGTGAGAATAGTTACAATGGACTGATAGCTGACGATGCAGAATACGCTGCATTCGATCCCCCGCGCTATTTCTCATCCGAACAATTGAAACTTACATACAAAGTGTGTATCATTTACCGGCGAAAACGTATTTGTTTGTGCGACAATTTACACACGCGGCGCCTCTAACGACCATATATATTTTTCTTGTAAACAGGGTTCTCTCGACACAAAAGAATACATGCTTTCTGAACTCACTAGAGCTCTCAACATACCATCTGACCGGCTGTGCATACTGGCAGCTTTACTTGGAAATTACATACTGACCGAAAACGACTTGGTCGATTTCTACAAAAGTCATAATATCAGCACCAACGTGCTGAATAAGACAAGCGTCGAGCAAATGATTAAGATAATCGCGAGCTTTGTCAGGGAACTGCCATCCGCAGAACTGGATGTGGTTTCGCAAAAGGTATTCGGTTCCGTCTCCGATCCTAGGTGTTCGAAGTTGAGACAATCTGTTCAATACTATTTAAACGGAACGAAAGAGGGATTTTTACATTATAAGCCTGTGAAACCAACGAAAGGTGAGGCTTTTTAATGTTAACCAAACGAGTCCCAATTACTAGACAAATTCAACATATTCTAAAATACGCTATCGGGGAATTTTTTATTTCTAAATAAACGATGTTTTACGCAAGGATAGTAAACGAATTATAAAAACTCAACATAGAAGTAGATGGTAATTGCGTATGTAGCTAGGCTGTTTTAGTCGTAATGTAGTTAATATTGCAAGTAAATACATCTCCGACTTTTTTTTTTTAGTTCATAAACTGGATTCCAAGCCGAACACACAGACTCAATCGAACTTGTCCGACACGCCGTCAGCCTCGGAAAGTGATTCTAATTTGGAAACCTCGAGATTCGCTTCTGAAACTTTGGAGAGCGAGCGCGAGAGTTTGAACGCGTACAAACAGGCGACGGCTAACGCGAAGGCGGCGCCGCAAATTGTGATCGATCCACCCGGTATTCAAGGCCATGGGGACGCCGATGCCATACGTATAGAGGAAGAGCAAAGTATGTCGGTTGAAGGAAACGCCGACGGCAACGTTCTACCTTAAATGTCTGGAATTTGTTTAACAGGCGACGGACATGCCATCAACGGTACTCACAATCTCTTGATAAGCTCGTCAAGTTCGAGTAGCAGCTCCTCGGCGACATCGCCATCTCACGCGACCGCGGATTCCGCGAGACAACCGGAGAAAACTACCAGTATTCCCATCACATCGCCAGAAGTTATGCGTACCGCTTCGGAACGTCATCAGAAGGGACTCATGTCGCCGTACATCTACCAAATTCTCATTGCTGGTGAAATCAAATTGCCGGTCCTCCTGGAAGACGAGAATCACCGCGAATTTCCTTCTATTCACGTGATTTATAGACCAATTCGACAAATGGTGTACGCGATTCTGTTTAATCTCCATCACCGGATGTACCTAGCTACGAAAAGTAAAGAGAAAGGTGGTAAGTGCGATGCGTCGGTTTCACAAATTATCGACATTCGTCTTTTTGCATTGAATTGTCACCTGGCAAATTTATTCCAACAGATAGTGAAAAGATCGAGATACCGGATGTAATAATAAAAGAGTGGGTATGGTCCAAGTCCAATCCATATCAGACTCCTGAGCTAGTGAAAGCGGAGCAGATCGGTTGGGGCGTGCCTACGATTCAACGTTTGTGGTTTGGGTAAGCGGTTTAATATCGGTTCAACTGAATATGCATATTACTGCGAATTAATTGTAGAGCTAATTATAACGTTCTGTAGACTCACATAATTTTTTTATAAACTGACCAAGTTTACTGTTCTTTAGCACAGTTATAGATGATAAGCGGCGAAGACTTAGAGGTTTCCTGACTTGTATGAGATCGGACACGCCTCTTATGTTGAATACCTCATATGTACCGCAACATCTGCTGGTCATGGCCTGTGTTTTAAGGTGAACATCACGTACGATTATTTCAGACACTCTTACCAAGAGATTTTCTTTGTGACTTCTTCATTCGCTGCAAATGAAAGGTGTACGAAACTGATTGGAATTGATCCAATCGATAAATACCTTTTCAATTATTTCTTTTGCAGATACATCATGTCTTTTTCTGACAAGATAAAAATCTTGCGCCGTCAGGAATTAGACGCTTTCATCGCGCAAGCCTTTTCGCCGGAGCTTATGAACGCGCAGTATTTGCAGGATCTGCAGGTAAAACGAACATGTACAATTATTTTGCAATACAATTGTCGTTTCAGGCAGTGCTCGAATAGACTGATTTTTAATGTATCGTGTGTATGCAGCTTCCATTAGTGACATCACGCGGTGTACAGCTGGCTACCTTGTTCATGGCTGGCGTCGAGACCGCGCTGTTAGCAAACGATGCTTGTGGCGCGCCGATTCCATGGTTAATGTGCTGTCCCTGGCTTTACTTTGACGGCAAACTGTTTCATCATACACTGGCCCGTGCTACCATCGCCAAGAACTTGTTGGAACTGTGCAGCGGCCACATTGACCGCGTTGTAAAGGTCGAGAGGATGAGAAAAGCTATACTTGAGGGAATTAACGTTATGTTTGCGCGACCACCTTTACCTGTCACGCCAGGTATTACATTTCTTTCAGCCACGTGCTTCCTCTTTCTTCTTTATTTATCTCTAATTGGGACGTAGGTTTTTGAAACTTTTGACTCTGTAATTTCTTATCTTTTTTTAAAAAAATAATTAAGGCTTTGTAGCCTTTAAGTTTTGACTTGAATTAGAACCCGAGGTTTGTTTTTGAAATTTTCCACAGTTGAGTTACGAATGGGTTAACTCACGTCCAATCTCAATCTTGGAGGATTATTTCGCATTTAAAATCCGTATGATAATTCGTGATATGAGAGATTGAACTCGAATCCCGACGATTACCAATTCAACCACTCTCACACAGCGTCATTTATTTCTTTTAAATATGGCAAGAGTAAAAGTCAAGATTGAATCTCGGACTTGCCGACTATGAGTCGACACAGAGCCATGCCCCAGCCAGTAATGTCCACTACTAGAGAGGCTTTCCTCATGTTGTTTTCCTTAGAATTTGAGAGTTTTTTAAATGATTTTCCAATCACTTACAAACGATAACGGTTGAACAGTGTATCTGAAAGAAAAAGAGAAAAAGAGTTAGTATAATAGCTTATGTAGTTTTGTTATGATACAGTTATTTGTTTGACAGGTAAAACACGCGACTTTTGATACAATTACCCTTATCCGATGGTTCTTTCTTTTCATTAGTAACTCTTCCACGTTCCTTAGCATCCTATGATCTTTTATAATAGGATGTTCTCGAATGGAAGTAGAGCAAAAGCAGCTAATGTTGCTTCGTCGGGTTCAAGTTCAATACAGCCCTACGAATCTCTAAACTGCGATAAAATATCCTGATAAATACATTTTCTAATGTTTTTTTATGTAAAGTAAAAGTGCTGTAAGAAATTTGGTTAAAGCAGTACGACTATGGATCGTATCACATGTGTTTTTGCGAGCAATATTTAACTTGCATAAAGACATTGTAAAATACAAACAAACTCGTTAACCCTTCTGCAAGAAAATATATTTGTCACACGCAGATTGCGAGAAACTAATTCTATGTATCAAGAACTAATAATCTACGTAACAAATATTTCTATCACTATGCATTTTAATTTGTACGTCAACAGTACGTAATTTTAATCCTCTTGTGTTTTGTGACATTTGTAATAATCTTACTTATTATTCTCGCAGGTATTCGTGTATCAGTCCCCTCCAATATTTTGCCAGCTGGCTGTAGCATTAACGACGGGTTAATGCGCGGGCGTGGAAGCGGCACGTTACCGCAGCGAGGTTTAATGCGTCGTCCAATCCCTTCGCGTGGCGGCCAACTGGAGATCGCTGGCGTCGTAGTTGGTCAATGGGGCCCGAATTACGGACAGCCTGGTCGACTACCACAACCCCTGCAGGGGCACCCCCGTGGACGAATTCCCCCGCAGGTAAGATGTAAACAGATATTTTCAATATAGGGTATGTGATTGCAATTTCATAACGATGGCTCGGTTATCGTTGGGTGTATATGGAGTAAGAAGCACACGATGACGATATTCTGGACAGATTTTAGGGGAACGTTCGAGATATTGAGTAGTCCGCTTTCACTATTTAACGTCGCTGGTGTGATCGGATAATGCGTGCATTTAGGAGGGACATCACGTAAATCAATTTAATGCACAGTTACTTGCTTATACAGTTTTTATATAGTTTTTATATGTAGACGTTCGATACATCATGGAAATAAATCTGGAATTATATATTTGAGAATGTATATTAAGCGGAGGACAGCTAATTTATCCTCGTTATGCGGCTTTATATACATGTTGCTTTACTAGAATGGACAAGAAATTATTTTGACACGTATATTTACACCATGTTTTTTTTGTAGATTGCGATTTTGTATTATCGCATGTTTTTTTAAATGTAATATGAACGCTGTTAAAATAAAGGTTTCTATATATTTTAATTCAGAGTATTTTAACTGGTCGTTTCCTTTGACATACATTCTTTCTAGGTAATACGTATATTTTCTCTTTTCGTGGTAGTTTATTAAAACAAAAAGCATGTATTTCTGAAGCATGTATGACATTTCAATAACTGAATAATGTAACGAAATAATCCTTATACAATTGAACATAGTTATATATAAAATATTGTAGATAAAAATGGCATATCTGTTTCTAAAAATAAATGGTCTTTTCGAGAAATATATATTATAACTATATATTCTTTTTTTCCTATTGTTCTTATATAATTAACTATTCAAATTACACACGTGTATCTGTCAATTGAATCATTCGACGCGTATATTGTAAATTTTTATAAATAGAAAAATATGATAATGCATACGCTATTATTAGAAACTAAAGCAAGATTTATGAAGTATTTTCTTTGTATACTTTAGCATCAATTTAAAAAATATACATACTTATAAAGCAAGGTAAAAGCACGTGCGCTTGCGCTTGTAAGTCGGTTTTTATTTTTTGGGAAATTTTAATAAATAAATATCACTTGAATAAAAATTGGATCTAATATAAAACAACAGATTCACATATTAAATTTAAAAATTATTGGGCTACCTTTATCTTGCTCGGACCTAAGTAATCATTTGGCGTTCTGGTTTTCATTTGATGAAATAATGAATTTTGTTCGTGATTAGTGATGAGACCTAAGTTGTTTCGTGTCTTGTAATTTATCTTCTTTTTTTTGTATTTAATTCGCGTTACTTCTTGTCGAAATTGTTGATAAATAACTTCAACAATTTCTCGCGAGTACCAAAAGACTTGTTACAATTTTCACAAATATATATTTTGCGATGTAATTTAAAATGAGAATTCATATATAATATCGTAAAACTACGATATGTATTCTAATTTTAAATATTTCGAGCTACATTAAATGTCAGGTCACATATGCTCGGAACATTTCGTAGCGGGAAACAAGCACCTGGAGACTTTTTAGAATTCAAACAATATATATCCATATAACACTTTCTCCTTTCGAATTCTAGGTTTATCTTCTGATATATTGACCTAGAAATCACTCTTACAATTAGAATATATTATAGTATTCTTCACTTAGACGAGTTTTGTATGTATTACAATTTAGATAAATTCTCTTTTTGTAGGTAACTTCTATCGGCGGACTTAAATACGGTCTTCCTCGTGGATTTAATCCGATAAACCGACCGACGTTTCAAACACGCGGGGCTACCCGTGCTCCGATCGCTGGACGTGGCAAGAAGACTCAAATGAAGGTAAAAATATCTTGTAGGTATATGAACGAGACGGTGATGAAAACTCGGAATCGAATTTGGAATCCCTATCGCGCAACTATCACTTAAACCGATAACGTTTGCGTGTTGAGTAGAGTTAAACGCAGCAAATTAATGCGCATAGCTAATCCGACGTACGCAAATAAGTGCAATTGAAACGTAATTTTTAAGGTAACTTGTTACTTCTGAAAATAAATATATAAGGCGAGAAAAATATCTAGCGCGGGTAATTAGCTCGGAAATATTTTTTCCTTGCCGAGCGACTTATCATTGAAAACCCAGGTCTTATGCATTAATACTCTTCTGCTCGCCTGCATTTCTTAATATATTCTTTTATGAAAATGTGAAAGACTATTTCACAAGAGAACATTAACAAATATGTGCCTCTTATTAATATCACAATATATTTAAATCTCGTCGAAATCGAGGAAACGGACAATCGGCCACGTTTTCTTGTTAACAATACGTAGAAATTTTTTAAATATTTTTACCCATTATTTAGGTGTCCAGCAAAAAGAAAACCACTATTAAGAAGACTAAGGAAATTGAGAAGAAAGACAACAAGGGCCGTGGCATCGCTGTCGATGGATTTACCGATTAGTGAGTGTTTGTAGCTTTTCTGTACATACCAACGTACGTTTTATAATCCAATATTTATTGATCTTTGCGTTCATAATGACATCAGAAAATCTTTTGCTTCATCTTTTTCATTTTCTAAAAAAAATGTGTCTCTCTTTGATAATATATCTTTAAAGTACATTCATTTTAATTTTTCTGTAACAAAATAATTGTACAGATTTAATTCAACAACTTGTATAATTGTACACTCTGTTTTCAGCGAAACTCAAACCGATAACGCTCGTGCACTACTGACGAAAGACGCACTGCCAGTACCAGGTCAGTTTGATGACGCAGTGGAAAATGGTAAAGGCATGGAAAAGGGACAAGGTGATGCACCGCTTGTCACTGCGGTTGCTACGGAAAATTAGATATAAAAGGAAAACTTCTCGAAAAATGACTGCAACTACTCCCAAATAATGACTCAAGACTGCTAACAATCTACTTATATATTCTGAACAATTGTGCACCGGTAACATTTAAGTATTGGTCTTTGAAATTGTTACGGAAAAGTTTTGGGTAATTCTTAATTATCAAATTTGATATTATTAAGTTATATTTGTTATTAATTTAGATTTACGTGAAATCTACATTTTGGCAGATACTTCTGGGGAAAATTTGTATATTATTCGTTGATTATGTGGCTCATCAAAAACATTGTCTAACCAAACTTAATCAGACATCCTGTTTATTATCTTAACTAAACTTATACAGTTTGTAACTGTTCTTCTGTTTATCATTCGGTATAAGAAAGGTTAGGTATAACAGGTGTTATAATCGGTATTGTGACTTGCATACAAAATTGTATGAAATTCATTTGTAATTATCTGACTAGTTTTTTGCTTAATTAAAATTGATATAAAAATTTCATATATTAACAAGGAATTAATATATTTCAATCAAAACTGTTTATTTTCTAAACAATGATAGTTATTTGGAAACTATCTGCCTCTAAATGTTACGTGCACAATAGTTCTAAAGCTCTGACGTGGGTCCAAAATATTGATCTAATAATAAGAGACAAGAAAATCTTTACTTACGGTGCCTCGATAGCACGTGGCACGATGTAAAGATTTTACCCATTCTTGACGTATGCGATATATGATGTCCTCACTGCCAAACGTACCACTCTGTATAAGATAGAAAGACAAAAATCGTGCTTGTGCTAAAAAAAAGGAAACAATGCGAGCTGACTTCGCTCGCGTTACCATGGAATGGAACTCGACTGATTAGTGTATGCGTGCGCTAATTTTACTACTCAGAACAAATCGTCTCAGCTGCTATAAGTATTTAATTCTTAAGAAGTGTGATTATTTTTTTTACACGAAAATATATATTTTCCGGTATTATATGAAATGCTCGCTGCGATGTATCTCAGTGACTCGATCCGATTGACGAAGGAAGTAGTCTGATATATTGTATATATGGATACACATACGCCATATTATACGTGATAGTTTAATTGATTTTTGTAGACGAAAACAATTGTCAGATGGGATACTGAGATAGTCATTAGCACATGGAGACTGATGCTTTTCATATAGGTAAAATATATATTTATATATATATACATATATTATTTAGATTAGAGTTCTCATGCAGTATATTATACGTAAGTTGTGCCTGTGTAAAGTGTGTGAATGTATTGTACCTGAGTATGTGAGAGAAATTATGAATATTGGAGTGCGTGTAATTATAAGAATGAATGAGAGAAAAAGGAGAACGAGTGTGAGAATAAGAGTGAAAGAGGGAGAAAGAGAATGGGAGAGAAAGAGAGCCACGATAATGATGTACATAAACGTGGCATTACGTCGTTATTATATCGTTATAAACACTTATACATACGGATATATTCACCGTATGTACATGTGTATATGTGATCTAGATCATATATTTATTTGCGTTGGAGAATTGTGTGAACGGATCACCTGAATGCAATTTGAGGTTTAGATACAATAACGTTTCTATCTAACAACAGACTTGAGGCTTATCATAAGGATGTTTAATATAAGAGCGTTTGTTGAGAAGTAATCCTTATGGTATGCCTCATAATGTTTGGAAAATATGCTACACTATGACGCATGTGCTACAATTTGTCCCTAGAAACTATTGAAAACATCTAATTTATTAAACTTACATTAACAATATATTATTATATAATAATATATTATAATAATTTTATATTTATAATTATTATAATATAAATATTGTTTTATACATATATAAAGAAAATTAATGGATTTCTTTATTATGAAATTAATATTTTATGATAAAGAAATCCACACATATCTATATGAATTTTTTAAATTGATGACACATTAAAAATATATTACAAATTGGTTGTTAAATAAAATAAGAAAAGAATTACCTTTATTACATTTAAAAAAGAAACATGAGCTTTTGTGCGCACGCCTAGTGTGGCATATTTCGAGAAACATGTTTCGTTTAATTGTACATATGAACAGTTGCTTTATAAGTGACGCAGTGTGATTGATACGGTGTATATATAGAATCCAGGTGCGTATGAGTTTACTACGCATCGGAATAGGAGATGATTATGTTAAAAATATGCTATTTATGTGTAGAATAGTCTAAAAGACTTTCTACCAAAGATCATCGGAGTTTAAAAGAGATAAAACGAGGGTTCTTTTATCAATAGAAATGCTATATAACAGCGAAATAACAAGACAGCACGACAGAACACGATTATTAAAATAAGTAACGAAGACGAGGCAGACACATACGTCTAAGACGTGTGTATGAAGGTGATTAAAGCAAGTAAAAAGAGAAAACCATTTATTGAGATAATATAATGAGATATGATGATAAGATAAAATGTTATATTTTTGTAGATTTGTTATTGCGTAAAATGCATTAGGACAATGAGAAACTTTATATAATTTGAGTAAAATGACAGTTAACGAGTCTGAGAATAGTTGAAGGAGCAAGATCCTGTGAGAAAGGCGGGGAGAGAGAGAGAGAGAGAGAGAGAGTGAAAGACAGCAAGAAAGACAGACGGAAGTGCTTTAAATGGCATGTTAAAGAAATGACATCCGCGGATAAATTTTGCTGAAAAGAAAAAAGAAACTAATCCCATGTTCTCCTACATTTCCGAAGCTCTCAGTTTCCTGAGTTGCGTGTAGGAACAGGAAAAAAAAGATATATAACGTATATGCGAATAACAGAGATGAATTATAACTAATAATGTCAGCTTCGACGTGCGCCGAGCATATGTGGAAAATAATTGGACTGTTTTACGCGATGCATATGCGAAGTAATCAACATTTGCTTGAAACACGTATTTGTCTCGACGAGCGTTCGTAAATCATACGTTTCACGGATACATGTAATATGATTTTTTGTAATCATTCGAGTCTCTCATAACGATTGCGATTAGCGTGCGAGCGCTTACGATTACTTTGCAAGGTACGTTGCAATTGCGCTAAATATCGATACGCCGATACGATGTTCCTTTCTGAACGTAAATTTCGAGAATTGACAAAGCCGTTCGTCCCGAACGTGTACTTACACACATGTTACACACTTCAAATACATATAACACGTACTAGAAGCCGACCTTCTTGAATCTGACGAAATACGAATTTGAGAGTAAAACGCCACTTTACGCTTTTACGTAAAGATAGATGATTTTCTTTCTGAGAAATCGAACTCTTGATATAAATACCGGATATAAAACAAAATAAAGACACAAATAACGAATGCAACGTGAACAGTTGCCGCTGCTACTGATATAAGTATGCAACAATAATAATAACGTGAAATAATTTAATGTAAACGCGAAGCGTAATGCAAAAATGAAAAAAAGGGAAAAAAACGAGAATTCACATTGAATACAACAGAAAGCAGAAAATGTTGAAAACTAAGGAAACTCTCGCATAAAGCATTAACGACGTAAAAAAAACAGGCGCGGTTCGCGACTCAGAGCCGCCTGCTTTTCGTTGTGATAAGTAGAAAAGTGGGGCCCACGAAAGTCGTCTATGATAATACTGAGACATACCGTTAAAAGTTAATAAATAATCTATCGTATTTATGAAGTAACAGTCTATAACGAACTTTGAAACATTGTGTGTTGTGAACAGATAATTAATAACAGGGGGAAACAAAAATTTATCGTACACCAAGTGAATAAACTAAAACTCTCGATAATCTTGCTGGGATGGCAAACGGCTTGTCGTAACGAGGAAACGGTTGGGTGAATCGCGCGGAGGATCGTTTCGTGTCCGCGAGGCCTCGCCGCGAGATGTGACGCGCTCGATTTGTCCAAAGGGGAAGCATTTCTCATTTCGTTTCGACGCTACTCTAGCACGGAGCGCATAACACGATATACAGCCGAGTATAGGATTCACGTTAATTAACACTAAACATGTATTCACGAACAGTTATATCCTTTATTCGGCAGAAACGGCCCGCTTCGCACGTCTCTTTATAAGTTACCGCCCTCTTTCTTTTCACGCCTTATAGTGCCTTAGGTTGCCCCGCGCGAATCTTGAGAGGAAAAGAGAAAAAAAATCGGGAGATCGTCTAATTTCTAGAACTCGTTGCTAAACGACAGTCGAGGGAGAGAAGGGAAAGAGAAAAAGGGACGTATTGTATATTACGTTTCGCGCAATTCTTTAGATGTGTACGCGATGACGGGCATCGTGTGTTTTTCCTTATCTTTTAACTTCTAACCGTAAGCCTGTACGCGTAGACTCGTTTTTTTCCATAGCGATCCGAGATGTTACAAGCGTAATAACGAGGGAGGGGAAAAAGTGAGAGAGGAACCAGCCTCCGGGCCGCACACTCGACGTTCATAAATTTTAAGTTCTCCTTAACGTAGCTTTGCTTATATACGTAATATGAGATATAAACTAAAGTAACGATAGCGAACGCAGGTAATAATGTAATAAAAGTTAAAAAGTTAAAAAAAAGAAAAAAAGATATCGATGTAGATGAGAGAAACAAAAAAAACGCATGTGGGCCCCGACACACACACACCTTATAATATTCTTATTAAATATTACATAACGTATACTACGCTATTATTTTTCATAGAGGAGGAAAAGATTACACGCATACGCGCGATAATATGTATATTTGATAATCATTAGTACGTTTGTTTTCCCCGTTTTCTTTTTTCTTTTTTACTTTCTCTTATATCCGAAGAAAGGAAAAAAAAAGTGTAACGACGCGAAAGCGCATGGGATATATTATATGATATATATACAAAACAAAAGGAACGAAACATACGCGTATACACATTTATGTGGATTATGTATTCTGTGTGAGGGAAGAGCAAAATGGAAAACGCCCTTACGAGCTTTACAAACTAGAAGCAATTGCACCGTGTTTCGGAAATAGTCGCTTGAGTTTCCGGTTTACGAGGCGGAGGGAAGGGAGGGGAAAGAGCGGATGATCGTTCGTTGATCCGAAAACTGTACATGCGCTCAGCTGTTATTGATAATTGTATAATTTAACTTCGGTGGGTCGGTCCAGCGGTGGCGAACGCGGTCTGGCGCGACGCGCGAACCGTTTTTCGAATCGGGCATCATTTCGGCGGCGCAACGCTGTTACCGGGACAAATGGACGAGGAGAGAAACGCGGAGCGTATCTCGCGGTAGAAAAAGATCCATAAGTGGCGCGAGAGACCTCTCCTTTTCGCCCCGGAGAGGAGGGTTTACGTTTGTCGATCGCTGCGGCGGTCGGGCAATACGGGGGATGCCCCGAGGGTGTGACTGCTGATTCGCACGCGGCCGGCGCATTCGCGGTCCTCGCATTTAATATAAACGCAAGCTGCATTGATGTATTCTTGTTGGATTATTAATACCATTGTAAACCATTTACTGTTGTAACATGTACCCCATTCATGTCTGGTGTCGAGCAGAGCTGATTCTGATGCTTTCGCTAGTTCGAAACGAGCCGAGGGATCGCGCGCGCAAATCTCCGAGTAACTATTATTCGTACGATCACCGTGATCCTGGGTGGGTTGTTGCACGATTTAAAGAAAAGGAGGAAGCCGAGAGAGGAGGAACAAAGAGAATCAGTGCTGACGAGAACACGAGGCAGAACCGAAAAAAAAAGATTATCGTAACTCTAAAGACACATTTAATCTACTTTTAAAAGCGGATACATATTTGGAGAGTAGCAGATAAAATAACTAATATAAATGTAGTGGCAATTCTATATAATATTACTGCAAAGAGAGGGGAAAAAAAAGAAAAAAAGATATGTACGAATGATTATTCGAAGTATAAAATGCGAAACGCACTCTTAATGGATGTTATAACGATTTAGAAACTACTTAAATTGCATTATTAATACTCGCTGTAAATCTGACGTTTGGGGCGCAAGTGCTCTGCTCGTCTTCTCGTGCCTCGCGAGCAGCCGCCGAGCTGCGGAAATGTCTTTTTCCGAGGGAGAAGGAAGCGAAAGGGAGCAGGGCAGTTGATCCAATCGGCAGATAAATTCAAGTTTCCTCCTTTTGTTTCAAGCGTATAATATTTAACCCTTCATTTATCTTCTATAAACGCAACCTCTCACAACACACATACACACGCGAGATTAGAATGTTTAAGATTTTGTAGAGTCCTCCGCGTTCAGTTTATAAAGTAGCCTTGCGCGGCATGTTGTACGGCTTTTGTAAAAGATAAACTTTCAAGTCCTGTAAGAAAGCTCTTAGCACGAGTAGAGAGAGAGAGAGAGAGGGAGGGAGGGAGGGAAGAGAGTGAGAGAGAGAGGAAGGAGGCGAGAGGGTTCGGATATGGTCGGCTGGTATTTTCGGAAGTTTAATGATTTATTGAAAACGTGTTGTCATGTCTTGAATACAATTAAAAGAATATGAAAAAATTACATACCCATCGAGTACTTTACTTCCCCTGATGTGTGCATCCTTTTATTTTATTGCTATTTTCACGCGGTTATTGTACTTACGTTTTCATTTTATCTGCCTGTAATCTGCTCCATTGCGCGATATCAATGTGAAGAATCTTATTTATCTTTCAAGGACTTTATTAAAGTTCCTTTTAATTTATCAAATCCACTTTCACCGTCATTCTTTCGTGCATCGTCAATTTTACTTTTCGGAATCTTCCTTTGACCCCTTTTTGAGTTCTATCACTCTTCTAGGATTCAACTGTCTCTACTTTTATAGTTAGCAGTGTATGCTTTATTCTATACCTCACGCGTAATTTCTCTCCGAACTTGTTTAAAATTCGGAAATTTTTCCTTCTTGCTGTACCTGTTTCATTATGCATTTGTTTCGTAGCTCATATTTTATGTTTCACTTCGTATGTTCAGTGAAATGAATATTAAGAAGAAATTCGCAAGTTGTTCCTTTTAATTCGGGAGAGACCATCTTATCCTAACAAATCTCTGCATTCAAGAATTTTCATTTATATTTATTCAATATCGCAAACTTTTGTCTACTTATACCATACATTTAATGTTGAAGTTGATGCATTTTTCACAATTATGTCTCGCTTGTGTATAACATTTTTATTTTATTAATTTTGAATATTCCATGTTGCGATGTGTAGATTATCCTTAACAATATCAGTTATTATAATATAGTTTATCGAAAGGAATATAAAGAGGTAATAAGTCTAGTGTTACATGAAAAGATGATTGCAATGTCTCGATTTATTGTTGTTATTATGTGAGGGTTAGTATTAAATGTTAGCATTCAATAAATAAAAAAACTACCTTATTAGCATAAGGCAATACGATTTATCATTTTATTATCATTACGCTATTATTATTAAAGTATCATTTACTTAGCGCTCTGAGAGGATTAACCCCCTCACTCACTGGATAGACGTACAGATCCTTCTTGTAGTCTTCTACGTTAGTGACATAATGCGCCTGCTCTTCCTTATGCTGTTTATCGTCAATTATATATTCCAAAGAGAAGTACTGAGCCTTTTTGCGATCCTCTGCATTATCTAACATGATTAGTTTTGTTAATTTTGTACATGGAACTTTGAACATACTTATTGTAGCATTTTGTTATCTTTATAATACAACGCCACAACAAAATAACAGAATAAAATAATCCCTCTTGAAATCATGAATAAAATCAATACTTCTTTTACATTGCATTCTAAAATAAAATTAATAAAAAAAATAA